GTAGGACAGAAAATGACTTCTATACTTTTAAAATTTGCTCAAAATTTAGGAGGTCTTTAGACCGAGCCAACTATAGTACTAGAGTGATTTTAAAGGTTACACTATGACAAAACATTCCCTTTTCAAAATTTTTTTTACTAAATGTCTGGCTACTTCAAAGCACAAGATCCAAGCACCTTTTTGTTCTTACAATATCTAGTGTTCAGATATAGCAAAGAAGGAACACTAAAAGCAAACAAAAAGGAAGAATGGGCTGATTTTGTTGTCAGGTTAAAATTGTTCTTGACAGAAAGCAAAATAACAACATAAATATACTCTATATTTGACATAATCTCAAAGCAAGGATTGAAAGGATATTGCAAGTATTTATTTTATGGATAATCAATGTATGCAAGTCCCCCTCTGCCAAATTCTGTTCTCAGGAATATGTCAACTAACCATAATGTTCCATATCATCATAATGAATTTCTTATTTCACGGGTTTCCAACTACTCTTTTCTCCAAAATGGTTCAGAAATTTTTAGATTAGAGAAATAAAAACAGCAAGAATATAATTGGAGATTCAGACCTTATGATAAATTTAATCAAGCAGTAGAACTAATTATATGATCACAGAATTTTATCTCTTAAACGGTCAGAGTATTCTTTAATGGTAACATAAATTAAAATTTTGATCATTCTTATTGGTCAATTTAACGATCAGCAAAGTAAAAACTGTCAATCGACCAACTTTTAAAGAGGATTTTACAAAAACCACAAGGACAACAACTGGATTTTTATTTATAGATTAATTGGCTGAATCTCAGAGATCATTTTCGTATTAGAAAGTGATGCCCTTGGAAAAAATTTTTATATCAGAAAAATTTTATCAGCTATCAATAGCCAATTAACCATTTAAGGGATATGTTTTGCAAAGCTTTATTATTTCAAAATTTACAATTTGATTATGATTCATTTAATAAGTGTTTGGGTTGGGTTCTTCAAAATTCAATTGTGGACAAGTTATAAAAGATTTGGTATATTTATGATTAATCATTATGGTTATGTCTCTTGTTAATAAAAAATTAATAATAAAGTTTTCACTGTTGCTACCTAAATTTACATGTCCTATAATTTTAAGTCTCTATCAGATTTATTTAATTTGAGTTGACTACCATAAACAAATCATAAGAAATGTGGTATATAACATGAAATTCTCCAATGTGTATAAGATTAATACTTTTTCAGAAGTTTAACTACTTTCTGTTTCTGTACTTTTTTTTAAATTCCCATTATCTTTGTTACTATTCTTAGAAGACTGGTTTTTCAAAAGAACCTCAGTAGTGTCTGATGGTCTACAATCATTTACGCCAGCACCTTTGGATCTCTTTCCCTGGGATGGTTTTATGGTGCCATATAATTCAACAACTTTTTTCCATCACCATACTTCAAAGAATGGCCTTTACTTTTATTCTCATAATCCACCTCCAAGGATATCACAAATAACAAGAGATTTTCAAGACCTAAATGGAATAAATTTAAGGTTAATATTTATTTGGAATGTCAATTAGTTAATTAAGTTGTTTTATTAAATACCTGTTAGAATTGATTGATTTGTAGCTCCACACATATAGTATTGAGAATGCATTAATTCTTGGGCATTAGTTGAACCTGGTAATTTTTTGTATAAACTTTTATCCATAACATTTAATGCAAGGAAAAGGATTTTACCCGGATCAGTATATATCCACCATTCCAACTAGATAATGGAATTTGGCCATTTTTCTTGTATCTCTCCAACTTGTTCAAAAAAATTTTCAACATCTATTTTTAAGAGCTTTAATGCCATTGATTGAAATTTTGTTGAGTCTTCATGTTTTACAATTGCATTATTTCGTGCAATACTTGTTACAGATTGCTGATAATGCTCATGACATCCTTTTAAGAAGAAGGTCAATGCTTCTTTTTACAATATAGTTTTATGTGAATCTAAGAGAATTTTTGAATATGAAGATAAATTGATTTTTTGCAATTTATGTTGAATATATCAATGAATCCTCTTTTTCAGCCATACTAAAATCTATAACCTGTGCATACAATTTTTGGTTTCACTTTTTCAATCCACTGAAATAATTATTTAAAGTGCTCTTTATAGTGGATCTTATCCTCTTTTAAAATTCTTGTTATCAAGATTGGTATCCATCTTTCAAGAAGAGGGAAATATAAAGAGCAATTAAAATAAATGAGTAATGAATAATTAAGACAGTTTTATTAAAATCTTTCAATTCAAAAAATTTTCCACACCTGGACAACAAGAATGCATTTGAAAAATATTTGTAAGTGCTATCTGTAACAATGCCTGAAAAGTTATTCATGATTACACCTTTGTTGGTAAAATCAACCTTCCTAGTAAAATTTGGATGGTCTTGTTGAAATTGTAAAATATCCGAAATGAAATTGTCTTCATGTCGGTAGGCTGTTTTGGTGTGATATTTTCTTCACTGATTATTTGCTAATGATAATAAGCAATTTTCTCAGTATTTGAAAACGTCTCAGATATTTTTCTAGCTGAAGCAAATGGGTTGTTATTATCCAAGGATTGTCCCACTTGCATTTTTTTGGGCAAAGTTTCAAGTGCTGCAGAGATGCGTTTTTTTAATTGATATTTTTCTTGGTTAAATGGCCTATTTTGCAAACATTTTTAATAGTAGTATAATAAACAATAATTAAAGCCATTTTCTTCAGGTTTTTTGGTTTTTTGTCCAGTTTGAGCATAACATTTTTCGCACGGAATTGTGCCTAATATTAATTTGAGCATTATATGTGAGCCTGTTTTTTTGATTCGAAACAATATAAAGCCCAACCACTCTGAAGCTAATCGTTTGGTTTTCTTTATATTTATAAATAGTGTCCCACAGGGCCAATGTGAATAATTTTCACTTAAAAAAAAAATTGAGAAAATTTTGAAGATTATCTTGCAGCGAGGGCAGAATCCAAGTTTTTGAGTGATTGAAATAATTAACTGCACATATATGGTGCCTTCTTCATAGATAGAAGCTTCAAATTTTTGATGAAAGCGGTGAATCTATTCATTTTAAAATTAATAATATATATATAATTAAATAGTAATTTTTTTTTTGTTTATTTTTCTCGTATTTGTTTTATTTGAAAACAATTCTTTAAAGTCATCGAAAATCAGAGTATATTTATACATTGTTTTGTGAATTATCAAAGTCAACAAATCATTCGATTTTAAAAGGTCATTTGTTAAAAATAAATCATGACTTTATTTACATTAATACCCAACATTTTTTCTTACAATTTAGAAAAATACATATTTCAATTTTTATCATTAGTTTTTTAACACAATTATTTAAGTCGCCAGTTCTTTAAATCATCAGTTTTAAAATCGTCAGCTTTCATGTTTTCTTGGAAAAAAATGATGACATTTCTTTATTCCATTTAATCACTCAAACTTCTAATAAAATAGTTAAATCGAATAATTGTTATTATGGAGTTATGCGCAAGTAAATTACTTCCTATGTTTTCTAAATTTTGCCCAAAAGGACTGTTTTGCCTTTACTAAAACATTTCGGTTACAATGGAACTATTATCGATACATGGCGTATAAATGTTTTGGTTAAGATTGCTAAATTGGATAATATAAATTACAATGTAAATAGAAGTTGAATTTGGTTCAACAGCTAAACCTCTTAGTTTTCCCTAATCGGTTTGTCTGTCAAATATAGATGTTATAATATATAAAAACCAATGGAGGTTAATCACTTCAAATTCTTATGACTTAAATTTGTTAGGTTATAAAATGCTTTCTCTTTAATTTTAGCAATTAATTTATAAGCATAACCTGCTGATATCCTAACCTTAATTAATGATATTGTTAGTATAATAAAATTGTTTGTTATTAATAAATTTATGATTTTTAAAGTCTTGAAAGACGGTAAGTACACACACCCACGATCTTTTAATAATATGCAATTTAAAAATGTTCTATGAATAATACAAATATGAAAAAAAAACTCTAACCAACCCCCCAAAAAAAATTTAAGATTCTTCATTAGCACTATAATAAGTACAAGTTTTTTTATGATAATGATTTCCATAATTAAAAATATTCTCATAATCCGCAAAACATCTAATAATAAATTATTATTGGTTAATATTAATTTAATGGTCAAATCATAAATCATTAATCAAATTACAAATTATTATTTTGTAAATTATACTTACAACCAACAAAATTCATATTTGCATTCAGGAACTTTGCATGTCATATGATCACATCCCTCATTCTTTGAAATTCTTACTCCACATTTGGGACAAGGTTTGGTATGCTTTGCTAAATATTTTTGAGTAGCCTTATTTTTATTTTTGTCGATTTTATCATATTGTTGGCAAGTTAATCCTTCATGCCATAATGAATCATGCGTGAAGCAACTTTTAGTTCCACAATCTCTGCATGTCAATATTGGCTCAGATTCACTTCCTATATGAGATTGAGCTGATTTGCATTTAGGATTTTTACACCATCTAATATCTGGCATCTGTTGGAGTGCTTTACGTAATGCTAATTCGTCATATCTAATAAAATTAAAATTTTTAAATTTTTTTTTTGTTTTTGCTTTTGAAAAATCAAAATAAATCATTTTGTTTTTTTCTTACCTTTGATATAAATTATCATTAACAAGATTTTTTATTTCATAATTATCTAAAATTACATCACATCCTATAAAAGGACACTTGATATTTATATCACCTTTATCATTTAAATTACCTTCAATGTATTTATTAACACATTCATCACATATGTTTGCATTATGATTACAATTATTTGAAATTATCACAAATGATTTAGGAGGTCGTTCTTCAACACAAATTATACATTCTTTTTTCTTTAGGTTGCCTTTTAAAGTTGGAATTCTACCGCTATCACTCAAATCTTGTAATTCCATTTCATATTTATGCATTTGTGAAGTATTATTTGGTTGGATCCTGAGGCATTTATTCTGATCAACTAAAACGTCTTCATATTGAATTTGTAGACGAAAAACTTCTTCACGAATTTCCCAAGCACGAGATTTCTTTGGTTTCATTACTAATGCATCATCCAAATCACAAAGTGCAAGTGCAAATTCATCAATATTTAGATAAGCGAATGCTCTATCACACTTCAATGAATAACTATTAGGAATTTGGGTCAATATTTCTGAGTATAATCTAATAGCAGACTGGTATTGACTATTTTGTAAACTTAAAGTTGCTTCCTGATACTTTGGATGTTGTTTTTTAGATTTTTTGAATGTATTTGAAAATCTTTTGCTTGTTGTTATTGGGGCTGGAATGGATGGTCTTCTGTCTTTATTTGTTGCATTATTATTATTATTATCGTTTTTTTTGTACTTAGTTTTGTCATTTATATTAGATATACATGTATCATTATTATTATAATCACCTATATGATTTTTGTGATATGAGGGCATATGAAAAGAAGAGGAGCTGACACGTTTTGCGTCAACTGTAATATTTGAGTTATTTGTATGGTTTATATGTGCATTGTTGTTGTTGTTGTTGTTGTTGTTGTTAACATTATAATAATTATTTTTCATTGGTTTATTATAATTATCAATAATTGGACTCATTTTGTTATTTGTATCAAAATAAGGTTTACTATTATATCCTCCTAGTAATTGTTGTTGATGTTGTAATATTGGATTGTAAATATTATTATTATTGGTTCCAGATAGTTGTGAATTATCTATTTGATTGTTAGTATGAGATAGGTGGTATAAGTTTTGAGATTGATTTTCATAATATTCAGATGAATTATAAGATTTAATATTATTATTAGATATAATTGTGGCAGCAGTATCTTCACCATCATTATTAGTGATGTTAAGTTCATTTAATTGATCGACTACTTCATTATTTGGTTCATCCCGAATTTTTTGATTGTCGGGCGAACCTGAAACTCCGTTTTGTTGCTGTTGATGATGATATTGAAATTCTTGATTATTAACAGATATAGACGATGATGATGATGCTTTTTGAGAGTGATATTGATAATTAAAATTATTGACATAATTCGCATTTATATCATTATTTTGTTGAGTGTAATTATCATTTGAAAAACTTTGATAAACTGCTGTACTATTATTGTCATTATCGTTATTCTGTCGTATATTATAATTATAGATAGATTTAGGTGTACTGTTAGAAGATGGTGAATGGAATTTTGAACCAGGAACGTCATTGTCTCTAAATAATATATAGGGAACAAAAGTTCTTATTCTCGGCCTAATAGATAACTCATTAGTTAGTAAAATATCACCATCATCATTATTATTACTATGATTGCTTTCGTTGGTGTGGCCAACTGTATTAGAATTTGAGAAAGTGTCTAAATTTGTAAAAAATTCTTTAGAATGATTTTGTAGATCCTCTGTACAGACAGATTTATTGTTATTTAATAAACCACTGCTTGTATTTTGTGATGATTGTTGTGATTGTGGTGATTGTATTGGCTGTATTTGTTGTGATGTTTGTTGTAGTTGTTTATCATATGATTTATCAAAAGTAATATCTGAACTATGAGAGTATTGAACTCTATGACTATGTACTTTAGAAGAAGCAGATCGAGAAATTCTATAGTTCATATTATTGTTTTTGTTTTTGTCACCTTTGTAATTGTTAAAATATTTGGGACTAGATTTTCCTAAATTTTGTGATGAGTTATCATGATTAATAATATTGTTAAAAGATGAATCGTTATCATCATTATTGGAATAATTAATTATTGGAAGATCTTCTATTACACGCCTTTCGTGGTCAGAGGTTGGGGAAGTGATAAATGATGTTGGAACAGAAGTATTTAAATAAGAATGTAAAGAACGTTGAGGCTTTTTTTTATGCTGATCATGGTGTGCTGGTTTAATAAATTCATATGAACTTTTTTTTTTATGTTGATTTCTTTTTTTTTTTTGTTGTTGATTACTATTAACATAAGATTTATTAAAGGTAATATCTGAGCCATGAGAATGTTGAACTCTATGATTAGAAACTTTAGAATAAGCAGAAGAAGTAATAACAACAGATTGAGAAATTTCATAATTCATGTTATCGTTGTTGCTGTTAAAATACTTGGAATTAGATTTTCCTAAATTTTGTGAGGAGTTATCATGATTGAATGCATCATTATTATAAATAATATTGTTAAAAGATGAATCGTTAATTATTGGAAGATCTTCGATTACACGCCTTTCGTGGTCAGAGGTTGGGGAAGTGATAAATGATGTTGGAACAGAATTATTTAAAGAAGAATGTAAAGAACGTTGAGGCTTTCTTTTCTGTTGATCATAATGTGCTGGTTTAATAAATTCATACAAGTTTTTTTTTTTATATTGAATTTGATCTTTTCTTTGTTGTTGGTTATTTAGATCGTTATTATAATGATTGCCACTCTCATTGCTTTTACTTTGCTATAATAATAATAGTAATAATAATAATTAAGAATTAACAATATTGCACATGATCATTTGTACAGTACCGAATTTCTATTAAATATTCATATAAACATTTACCGAACATTGTTCCATTTTCTCTTTATTTATAATTTTTTTTTGCTTTTAGCATAGATAAATGCGCGTTTTTTTAAAAAAAATGTAACAGTAAATAGAAAATAGTAATAGTAATACTAGTAATGATATGAGAGCATGATGGAAAGTTCGATTTATCACGTTTACAGTGCGGATCACCTATTACTATGGTTGGCTCGGTCTAAAGACCTCCTATTGCTGCGCCACGTGGACAAATTTCAAAAATAGCGATTTCGTGATTCG